GAGGACGTTCCTTCCTTCGTTTGTAGTTTCTTTTAATTTTCCAGTGCACCAAAAAAAAAAATTTATGATTACACAATAAGTGGAAACTAAAAGAGTAGAAATGCTTGCACCGAGTGAAGTTGTAAATACGCGTTGAGGAAAATTGACAGACTATTTATTTCTTTAAAAAACATTGAATGAAAACAGACGTCGATAATGAGCTTTATTAAAAGATGAATCTTGGAAGAAAATACTCGGAATGTAAGAATGTAAATCGTAAGACTAAATTACAGATATATATGCTCTAGTTCATGTAGAAGTGCCTCTTTATATTTAAGTGATTATATCGTCACAATCATCACTAAAGTTTTCTTTAATATTCATTTTGTTGTAGAAGGTAAATAAGAGACTGAATTGAATAATAAACATTATATACAGATGAATTGCTTATTGATGAACCAGATGAAATCTGGTGGCAGTTTTTTTATATTATATTATATTATATATATACCGATTACTGTCTGTATAATTTGTTTATGATATCTAGTGAAAATCTGTGACTTAAATAGTGTTGGTGTAGATTAGGGTTTGTTAACGTGCTGTGTGAACATTTTGAGATTTGCTGGCATTATGTATTTTAGGTTCATGGATGTTTGCTTGAATTAGCTTATACATGTTAAATGTTTGTTAAATTGTCAACTCAAATTTGTTAATTTGGGGATGTAGGTTTTGATCACAGTGGGCCTCTATCAGAGGAAATAAATAATAATGTCAGTCTTAGTCCACAAATTTATAACAAATATATATATATATATATATATATATATTTAAATCATCATATGTATAAAATATAAAACTAAAAGATTTTTTCATTTATTTGATATTTATCATACTTTCGAAGGAGATTAATTCTTATATGTGATAATTAAAGAATACTTTTTAATAATGAATTAATTTTTAAAAAAAAATTAATTTATGATAAAATAAAATTTGTAGCATATATATTTACTTTTAGTGCTTTTTTATTTATGTATACATTTATTAAAAATATCAAAATAGTAAAGATTGTAAGATTGTATACGTTAATTAAAAAAATCAAAATAGGAAAGATTGGAAGATTTATATTATATTTCGAATTTTTATTATAAAATATGTTTTGAAATAAGTTATCATCTAAAATATTATATTAGATATTAAAAATATGTTTATATTATAAATAAATTAAACTTGACTTTTTATACAATTTAACATATTTATTTTTATGTTTTTGTTAGTATTAAATTATTATAAAGTATATTTTTAAGATATGTAATATTTACATAGATATTGCATTATTAAATATATAATTTAAAATTAATAATATACTATAAAAGTTATTTAAGTTGTATATATTGCAAACAAATATATTAGAACAAGTAGTGATTGTTATATTTAATAAGACTCCTTGCTTTTTCATTAAAAGATTCAATTTTCATTATTATTTTTGTGATTTATGGTCCCTTAAAAAAATTTATAAAAAAAAAAAGTGGTTGAACCGATTTGACCCACCGGTTTACCGGTTGAACCGGAAAATTGACCGGTTCAATCCGATTTGAAACGGGTCGACTGCATAACCGATCCAACTTCAGTTTCGGATCGGCTGAACCACCGGTTTCCGGTCCAACCGGTCCGACCGGCCGGGTCGGTCCGAGTTTAAAAACACTGGATTATAGTTCTAATAAAACATTTTAAAAAATATCTATGATAGATAAATAAGTCATATTTAGGACATGTATTTTTAAAAATAAAATTAGGTTCAAACCTACTAAATTATAATATAACATAATCTGACCTAACTTATTTTCATCATTAATCGTAAGCATAAATATAAAAGCTTGTAAAAAATAATTATAATATATTTATATTTTTAAAAATTATATGTAAAATTTTTAGTACTATAAATATATAAATAATTATTGTCCCTACTATCTAAAATTTCTGGATCTATCATTAACTATTTCCAATAATAAATAATTAGTATGAATACATGATTATTCAAAAACTTGCCACAAAAATTGAGTGACAGATCCTCATTCAAGGATGTAGGAGGCAATTGGCCCCACAAAGTTTTCTTGGTAACTTAAACATTTTTAATAATAAAAAAATTTCCCTCAAAATGCTTAAATAGCTGAATTATTGTAATGTTACTTTTTTTTTTTTTTCGTTCATGGAGTATCCACCGCTGACAGCAGTGACTAATCTCCTCGCTCCGTTGAAGGCACCTCAAAGGGTGGGATAGCTGGCCCCCAGATTTAACGCGACTACATACACAAGGCAGGATTCGAACCCTTGACCTTGCTTAAGCGTGGATCAATCCCTACCGCTAAACCACACGCTTGAGGTTATTATAGTAATGTTACTAATATATGCACCATCAACGTGGTGAGATTTGGAGGAAACAAAAACTAAAAGAAAAATAAATTCAAATGAATTCTTTAAGCCATGTGGGCTTGCTTGTGAGTGAGTCAGTTGGGCCTTGGTGCATTTGAATGATGGGCCGCTATCACTCCCATGTATGGCAGCTTCCTATTGCCCGTAAACATGTTTCTCAAATAGAGTATCAGAAGCAATAGAAAAACAACAAGAGACAAAAATGATCAAATTAATACACTAAACCATTTCCCCTGTCAGATGTTTCACGACCTTTGCCACTGACAACGTGTGCATTTGAATTTGACGCTGTACTTTGGGTGCAACATTACTATTCACTCAAACTCTGATCATTGATTAATTATAATTACTTACTATAATTATTAATTGAAGTCTATGACATTTCAAAGTCTAACCCATGTAGACAGCGAAGCTTCGCCAAACAAGAGATGGCGCTCCTGTTTTATTTCCATATTGACTCGATTTCTTCTCTTATTTATAATACACGCGTTTAGGAAACACGATATGGTCATTCCATGAATTGAAAAAGACAAAATATTCATAGCACAAAGCAAATTCCAAACCGCAATAGTATTTTATCACTCGTAAGAAGTGCTATTTTAACTTGTTAGGAGTTCTTTCTACATGGTTAAAGTGATGACTTTTGTCGTCTCTTTTGAATTTTAGGGAGTATTTTTGAGTTTCCAATGTTTAACCTGGCCCAGAGTACCATTTTTCTTTTTCTTTCGTAAACATTTTTGTCGTAGACAAGACAAAAAAAAAAGGATTAATTAATGATTTAATGATTATACAACCCTTTACATGTAGGTGGAAACAATTAAAAATTTCAAGTGATGAACTTTCCATGGACACTGAATCAAGTTCCAAATATGCGTTGAGGAGCAGAATTTTTAATTCTTATATAAAAATCATTGAATGAAAACAGACATATTAAAAGATTAAAATGTTAGAAGAAAAACTACTCAGAATGAGAAAATGTAAATTCTAGCAAAGACTAGATTATGGTTAAGTTCTAGCTCTTACAGAAGTGCCTCTTTATTTAAGTTATTAGCGTGACAACCATTACTAAATTCTTCTTTGGTATGCATTTTGTTGTAGAAAGCAAATAAGAGGTTGAATTGAACAACAATGTTATACCAGTACGAATTGCTTATTAATTACCAACGAGACGAAATCAGGTGGGAGATGTTAATTGGCTTTTTAATAAAAGCAAAAATCATGATTATGAATGGTACAAAAATCTTTGTCCAACCTTTTTCATACCATTCATCATTTCCATTAATTGAATTGAGTTTAGATTTCTATCCCATCAGCTCTTATGCTGCCAGTTTGTATGTTTCAAAAATATTTTCTCATCAAATGTAAACCATGAAAATTCTTAAGTGGAAAATTCATACCAAATGGAATCCATGATTAAAAAAAATTAAATGCAAATTCCAGGAATAAGAATCCAAGGCACTCAAAATTAATGAAGATAATATAAATAAATTACCACTCAAATGAAAATACAAAGAAAAAAGAATAGGGAGGTAGAATCATCAAGATTACAAAAGTATTAGCAATATAGCATATGCAGAAGCTAATTAAAATGTCTCTGTGTTTTTGTTTTTACATTTGTTTGAGGAGATATAATTTTTCCACATATGTCCATTCCATATGTATTTACAATGATGCAACATTGTTGCCTTTGAATTTAAATTTATTTTTTATTATTATTCAAAATTTTATATTAATAAAATTTTTGCATGTTTCTATAAACTTGTGTATGTCATTTTTTTTATTCATAAGAAATATTACTCATGTAAGTTTTCTTATTCTAATAATGTAGAATTTTATATAACAATCGATGCATCATTCCTAAAACAAATTTCGTGAGAAATTATTTTTCTTATTTAAAGTTATATTTAGGGCCTTTTTTCTAATATATGAGAACTTTTTTGCTTAATAAAAACTAATAACCAGTACATATTTACAATTTAAAGAAAACTTCTAAATTTTATACTAAAATCTATAAAAAAAAAATATTGATATTGTACATGGTTTTAAATTGTTGTCACAGTTATGATTGTGACAATTATGATTGCAATTATTGTATCTATTGCGATGTAAATTGTAATTATTGTGTCTATTGTCATGTTTTGGTGTAAAATTATTATATATTGACACGAATATAAATAAATAATTAAATCTGTTTTTTTTTTTATTCAAAATCTTTCTCACTTTCTTAAAATATATTATAGACACCCCCAATATTTCAACCGACCATCATTAATTGTCTTTCTTGTTTCTTTAATATCTCATGTGACTAAATTTATTTGAATAAAACAGTTATATTACGGTTGAATTGCGAAATATTAAGTGAATTAAAATCACACTACAATTGCGAACCGTTGTGATTGCGATGAACACCGCAACAGCTATATTGTCGTTGCACTTACGGTTGCCGACTGCAATTTAAAAGCCTGACTGTACCTTAAAAAAAATCTAAAATTTCACAATATACTAGTTGACTTAAAATCCACCAAATCATTGGTCACCCATTGACTTAAAAAAGCCGGTTCTAACATGTTTCAATCCGTGAAGCAATTCTGACCAATGGTATCACGCATGGAATTTCCCATTACTCTACCAAGAAGTTACAAAGAAAGTTCGAACATGTTGCTTTTCCATTTCCATTAAGTATGTAGCACTGTACAAGTATTTGCTTCATCAATCATTTCTCCCTTCTCCCTCTCTTTCCC